GCGGGCCTGCGCCTGCCCCGGGGCCCCCGGGCGGCAGCCTGGAGAGGGGCCGGGGCTGGCAGCTGGCTCGTCCCCTCCGTTCCCTGCAGCCTTCTTTCCCGAGGCGGCGGAGGCAGGGAGCCTGCAGGACAACCCCGGCCACGGCACCCCTTCCCCGGGCAGCAGCTCTCTGTCCCGCGCTCAACCGTATCAAACCACTTGCGTTAATAACCAAGACTTGCTTTTGCAGCAGTGTTTTTGATCTAGTTTAACGTAACGTGACGACTAACGTCCTCCTGAAACAGGTAAGTGAAGTAGCGGGGCACCCGACACCGTCAGATGCGCCGTCACCCCGGGTCCGCGAGGGGAGACGGCGCCCGCGCCCTGGTGTCGCCACCCGGCCTCCTCACGACGGAGCTGGCCTGCGTTCCTCTGCACCATCGCCCGTTAGCCGCAGCTGCTTTTTCCGTCGTGCCGCAGAGCCTGCTGCAGAATTCGTTCTTTACTTTGGAAATACCCGTCGTTATCTTTGGTTTGCCGTTAGTTTCTGTAAACGCAATTCTTTCATCATTACACGTTAAACGAAATGTGAACTAAGGCAGGTCTGAATTCAAGAGCTTGAGGTATTCACTGCAGCAGTCACCTTCAGCTGAGATCCCAAACTCCCATCTCACTGTTTGTCTGCCTTCAGTGCTTAGCAGTTAATTTCAGTCTGTCTTGTCCATCTGTCCCTCTCCAGCTGCCCCGCAGAGTAACCGGTGCGGCGCGCTCCCGCCCCGTTACTCCAAACTGGTAGGTTCCTCATCCCCGCAGAGCTGCGTCCGTCAGACTTGCGCTACCACACACGAACGCCAGAAATCCACTCCGGTTACGAGTGTAATAAAACATATTTTGCTGCTACACATTGACCCGTTCCAGACCAAGCAGCTTTCATAATAAGAGTGGGAAATGGCCTTGCAGTTTAAGATACACCAAAGACCAGTGAAAACATGGTTAATGCATGTTATTCAACCAGTAAGTTACCGGAAGATAAGCTTTTAACTACGGCAACTTTAGTCTGCCTTGGCTAACCAACCAATAACATCATACAGCTCAAGGCCAGCAACAGCTTTCCTTTGTTCATCACCTTGAAGTATCGGAAAGCCCACCCATCCTGCCCCCGTTTGAAACTTAAAAACTGAAAGCAGTTTGGAGTCATTACATGATGATTTTAAAATTTTTAATAAGCTTAAAAACGTCAAACATACACTTAGTTTACATAGTGTACAAAAAATATTTACAAATATTTCTATGAAAGCACAGAAACAGCTCTAAGAAAAACACTGCGCATAAGCATACCTATATACATAGAAAAACATTGTACCTCAGGAAAAAAGTGCCTTGTGCATTTAAAAATCCATTTGTGAATTCAAAATTAGTAATTTTAAGTGATTATAGTAATTTTGAAATCGCAATGAAATTTCTTTAAGTGGAATGTATGATTTACCAAAAATATTTAACACAATGCCACAAAAATCCAAAGCTGTGCGTCCTGCTTCGCTACCCTCCGCAAACGCGGAAGGACCACTGTACGGCTTGCATCTCCCACGTTTCCCTTCCTGGAATTCAACAGCAACATTTGCAGGAACCTTGACCTAAGCGTTTAGTGAATGGCCCTGAAGTTTTGATATACATTTAAGCCAAAAGGTAACATTTTAAGGAAGTTGCAGTTGATTGCTACATAAAGTGTCTACTTGCATGGAAGAGCAACTTGGGCCTGTTTGCTACGTGAAAGCGCTCAGAAGTTCTGGGTTTGGGTGTCTTTTTAAAAGGAAAGCAAACTTTACAGTAGCCATACCTTTGGAGGGGTTTGGTTCTTTCCACATAGGCACCTACGTGACACAGCCTGAACAGCTCCGGGTGAGACCCGCAT